GAATGTCCGTTTGGTATCTTTCGCCTCTCTTATATAAACTTTGGTTATATCACTGTCATGTTACAATGAAAAAAAAAATGTTACTTTAAATACATGAAGGAAAAATAAATAAACTGTTAAGGTTTATGAAAAATACAAATCACTTCGTAAATAATTTATTATAGTAACTTCATAAAAGGTGCTATGTTCTTTCTCTTGTTACTAGACACTTTTAAAATGCGGGTTATTTTTTGCCAATTTATACGAATTATTCAGAATAATTGTTTTCTCCATTTTTCTGGCAATAGTATATTGGGTAAAACATTGAGAATAAGGATAAAATAGTAAACCCCCCACCTTTCAAATTAAATCACATGGCTGTTCGCCCTTTAGACAATAAGAATATTTGGTAATTTGATAGTGAACAATGATTTAAATGGTTTAACAATCTGTAGTTTGCATTGGAGCATAGTTCATTGAAACTTGATATCGTCCGGGTTGATTCTTCAAAAGTATGACCCACAGTTCTGAAAGGATACAACTCCATATTGGTATATAATTCTTAAGAATATTCTAAATAAATTTAGATCTTAATGAGGCAAATATTTACTGTCAATTGTACATTGATATCAAAAAGGAGAAGAGATTCGTGAAAAGATTTGAATTAAATGTGTATAGTACTCAAATGTATATATGGCATCATTAGCTCGATAAACTGCAAAACAAAGATAGACCACACTTATGCATAACCCAGTGTAAAAAATTCTTTGAATGTTTTAGATAAATTACGTGCTTTTGATGGTCCTTTTGATTCTGTTGACAGTTTTGACTTTTCTACTCTTTACACTACACTTCCACACAATCTTATCAAACAAAAATTTGACTATTTAATTAAATGGTCGTTTGGTAAATCTGAATGTAAATATATTTGCTGCAACTCATTTAAAGCCTTCTTCTCTAATGAGAAAGGTAAATATGCTAGATATACTTATTGGCGGTGTGATGAGATGATTGAAGCTGTTAATTTTCTCCATGATAATATTTATGTACGTTTCGGCAGCAAAGTTTATCGACAGGTTGTAGGTATTCCTATGGGTACTAATTGCGCCCATTTAATAGCAGACTTGTTTTTGTACTGTTATGAATCACAGTTTATGACCAAACTCAGTAAAGACCCGTCTAAATTGCATTTAATTTATAAATTCAATAACTCTTACCGTTATCTTGATGATATTTATTCGTTAAATAATCAAGAATTTTCTCAATATACTGCCGAAATTTACCCAAAGGAACTTACTTTAAATACATCAAATTTAAACGGTAACAACTGTCCTTTCATAGATTTAGATGTTTCGGTTTTACACGGGAAACTCCACACAAACATTTACGACAAAAGGGACGATTTTTCGTTCCCTATTGTTAGTTTTCCCTTTTTGGATGGTGATGTTCCTTTGGCACCATCTTACGGTGTTTATATTTCACAACTCGTTCGCTATGCCCGTGTCTGTTGTGACGATTTTGATTTTAACGAACGTAATCTATGTATTACTGGTAAATTATTAAGCCAGGGATTTTGTTACCACAAATTACTTAAAACCTTTACTAAATTCTTCCACAGATATAAAGATTTGGTTTTGAAGTTTGGTTGTACCTGGAGAACATTTATTTCAAACGGGATTTCACCTCCTCATTGTTACGGCAATATTGTTTACCGTGCCCAGAAATTTAGAAACGATCCTGATAAACTTATCGATCCTTTAAATAGACTTATTCTAAAAGGTTACCAATTCAACACTGTAATTAGATCATTAAATATTGTTTTTATTGGTACTAATATTGATTTTGTTATCAATAAATTAAAAGCAAACTAAATATTATTGTTATATACATATACACATTCATGGATCTACAATCTGTCGATACCATTGCACAAGGTCATGTTTTTCTCCGACTATTTATGACATCCTTACACTAAATCCATTGGATGTTGGATGTGTACGGATTGATAATTTAGTCTTAGATGCATGATTTTTTTATTAGTTGTTAGTGGCTTTGAACTAGCTGTCAGTAACTGCGAGTACTCTCAGATCTGTACTTAGTGTCTTTTTGTTGTTTGGATGTACAAGTACACCGGCCACGTCCACTTGTATTTGTATTATTTGTATTTGTATCCATCTGATGAGTTAAGCCTCTTTCAACTGATTTTTATAGTTCGTTCTTATGTTATACTGTTACACCACTGTCCCAGGTTAGGGGGAGGGTTGGGATCCCGCTAACATGTTCAACCCCGCCACATTCTGTATGTATGTGCCTGTCCAAAGTCAGGAGCCTGTAATTCAGTGGTTGTCGTTTGTTTATGTGTTAAATATTTGTTTTTCGTTCATTTTTTGTACATAAATTAGGCCGTTAGTTTTCTCGTTTGAATTGTTTTACATTAATTTTGTGATTTCGGGGTCTTTTATAGCTGACTATGCGGTATGGGCTTTACTCATTGTTGAAGGCCGTATGGTGACCTATAGTTGTTAATTTCTGTGTCATTTGGTCTCTTGTGGAGAGTTGTCTCATTGGCAATCATACCACGTCTTCTTTTTTTTATATATATCGCACACATAATGCAAAAAGGTGACATTAAGGATGTACTGAGGTGAAATTGAAAAATCTAGAATTTAAAATTGATACTATAAGTCAGAAGAGCATTAGTTAAGGAACAAATTAAGCTAAAACATTGATAGGTTATGGAGCTCCTTTTCGAGATATTTATTTTTTTTTAAATGGCGGGAACAGGCTGACTCGGACTTTTACCTTATAGTTGCATTGGAATCATTTGGGTCTCAAATCGAAAGAAAAGAAATCTAGAATCTGCTTAAATTTTGGTAAATGACCTTTGATGGGCTATTGAAGTCTTAGAAAAAAAAATAATAGGTGTTATGGGGCAAAATATTTTACCCTGTATCGTAGGAAAAAACCAAGGAGTCCGAACATCTGACAAAAATTCCTAAACCTGACCTAAGTACATCCTTAAGCTATTGTATATGTCTGAATAACTCCATATCTTATGCTGACTTTGAATAAAATCAATCTGAAATGTAAGTTTAACTTTCACGCGCGCATAAACCTCTCTCTTTGCATAATGTCGTAAAAGTAAAAAGCACAACAAAAAACTGTACTGTCTATCTTTAAACTTAAAAACAGGTAGCATTATGTTAAGACCGTATTTAGTAGAATATATTAAGTAATAATTTATAACTTAAGGATGTAGTCAGGTGAAATTAAAAAGGATCTGAAATTTAAATTTGAAACTATAAATCAGAAGAGCATTTTAGTTAAGGTACAAAATAAGCTAAAGATATTGATAGGTTATGGAACTCCTTTTCGAGATATTTAATTTAAAAAAAATGGCTGACTCGGACTTTTACCTTATATTTAGCATTGGCATTTTTTTGGTCTCAAATCGTAAGAAAAGAAATCTAGAATCTGCTTAAATTTTAGTAAATGACCTTTTATGACCTATTGAAGTCTTATATGAAAAGAAAAGAAATGTGGTGATATGGGGCAAAATATTTTACCCTGTATCGTAGAAAAAAATTCTCCTAAACCTGACATGACTACATCCTTAATGTCCATATTTAACTCTTTGAACTTATCATCAGTGTCTTTAGGCAATGCATTGAATGTAGTAAAAAAAAATAATGGTATATGCATGTATACTGGTTAAAAAAATAAAAGTACAAATGACATTGTTTTTTTTTTCAAAATGCACTTTTAATGGATTCGATTGAAAAATGTACAATTTATTTACAAATACATACTTTTTCCTTATTAATATAACAGGGCAGCCTGATTTACAACACAATCTGACATTTAATGAATTTCCGAATTACAGAAAGAACCATCGTTTATATACGTATAATAAATTATGGGTATTTCGATTAAATAGATACACAGACAAACTGGGGAGATTTGAACTTAAAAATATTCATTGTCATATTTAATTTTTGAAGTTGTTATAAAACTGCAAGTGCAATGTAAATTGTTGTATGGTTTAAATAAATCTCATCATTTGATAAATATTTGGATTCGATACAAATTTTACTTAAATATAGTTTAACTATTGAAAAAAGTTTTATTACAGGAAGTGAACGTTTTCATTGTATACTTGTAACAGCTATCTGCCTTGTAAAGTAGACCAGTCCATTGGCATATAACAGTATTGTTTTGGCAGTTTTTCTAATTATAGATAAGGGGATCGTCCATAGAAAATCTCTTTAATACCCTTCCGGAGCACCTGAGATCACTGCCGATTTTTTGTTGGGTTCATGTGGAAGGTCTTGTGTTTTGTGTACTGTTGTTCCTCTTTTGGTTGCTTTTCGGTTTCTGCCATGGAATAATCAGTTTGTTTTCAACTTATAAGTTTGAATATGCCTTTTGTATCTTTCGCATCTCTTTTAAATAGGTCTGACATATGTATGGGCTCAAAGGCAGTGGTTTTGCAAAATTTGTCACAGAAATCTTCTATCATTTTTTTTTCTTTTAACATATAACATGTTTAATGCAAACTTAATATTATAATTTAGTTAATAAGTTAAAATATAACACGTTGAGTCCACATGGAAAAATACTATGCAAAGGATATGCGGCCTCAGACCTGTTCAATATTTTACAGAATGAACTGTTAGAGGCTTATATCTTACTAAAAACATTGTTAAACTTGTCAAAGAAGGTGAAAAAGCAAACAAAAACAAACTGTTGTTAATACTTATTTTCATCTAGTGTGTAAATTATTTTGAATAAACTTTATTCATTTTATCCTACATGTTGGCCCCTTTAAACAGTAGTTCAACTTAAACAATAGAAAAAAATAAAGTACAGTTGAAGGTAAACTACATGTATAGCTACATGGAGACACAGTAAATTGTATCATGCTTTTTGCCGCGTGCGCTAGAACTACACTATATATTTTCCGTGAATAACTTCGCATGCATATGGTGTCTCAAAATGGATAAAGACGATGAAAGTATATTCTAAATGCTAAATTCTTTCCGACAAGCAGATAGTGATGTCAAAATGTGAGTGTGTTGTTTCAAACATTCAATTTGGATTAAATTCAAATCTGTGTTCAGATATATCCGATTTCAGTGCGTACAACGAGGAGGATTTAGTTATAGCTGCTAAAAAAGACAAGTTTTATATAATTTTTAAAATATAGTCCTCTCCTATTACTTCCCTATTCCTTCTGGGGTTTTATTTTTTTATTAGGCGAATGAGAATAAAAAAAAATGAAAAGCACATGAAGCTTGAAGACATGCTCACTTTGCAGAAAAAGGTTCAACCATATCGAGTGCAACGCAGTCGATTTTATTTCAAATACATCACTATAAAATATAATGAATGAGCACAAATGAAGAGATAACAAGCGTGTAAGCAATTTAAATTTTTTTGGTGTTCTTCGGAATTTTTCCGTCTTATATTATGTCAATGATTTTTAAGAGAATTGTGATCGAAATATTATAACTTTTATTTATAAAAATGAATTTATATAGTTATAATATCTAAATTCACCGCCATGAAATATCCGGAGATAAAAAAATCGATCAGCCGTATTCACCTACTACATGTATACATGAAAAAAATGTATTCATAATTTCCCCGTATGACGAAGGTCCCCTCTTTTTTTTCTTTTTTTCCTTGTTCACCGAAATCGACCCCCCCCCCCCCCCCCCCCCCCCCTTTTCCGGTTTTTCTGCAAGGTTCGTGTCGCTTTTCTTTTAAGTTAATTTGCGTATTGCTGTCCTTTGTAATTTTTTCATGTTGTTCCTCGACCTCGATTTCCCTTTGCAAATAATGCTTTCTTTTTTTCTTTCAAAACAAAGCATTGCAAGTGCTCATCCTTATTTCTGTGCTTAATGTATAATTAATGTATTCAATCAATTTTACTTTTGTGATCTAAACTTAATAAATACATTCAGAATTGGAAAGAAACAAATGTAATTTGTATTTTGACGTTATATAATATGAATGTGCCTTTATTAATAACTGCCCCCCCCCCCCAACCCCCAACCCCCCAACCCCATTTCAATCAATACAATGCAGGAAAGGGTTTAATGTTCAAATTTATATAACACGATTACAAACTAGTTAAAAACTTATTTAACACACATATGATTATATCTAGCACCTCATTTATTTAACTTCAAGAGACTACATCGATTTAAGTAAAAAAAAAAAAAAAAAAAAAACGATCACTACGAATATAGTGAGAATCGGAAACACGATTGATTTCTTTAACCTGTGGTAACGTGTTCCTCTTTTCTGTTTCTTATATTTATCGTCGTTGATAAATGAAGTTTTGCATTAAATTCCTATACAGGCAATAATATCAGAATGATTTAAACAAGAAACTTGCAAATCAACGCCGACACCTGAAAATTATAAAAAAAAATGCTGTAGCCCCCTAGTTCATGAAGCTAGTTCTCGGTTTTGCACTTTGTACACAGGGTGAGGTTTTAAGGTTGTTATTAGCTATGTTGTCCAAGGAACAAGCTTTGGCTTGCACATGAACACTTAGAAAAACTTCTACTTCAGATAAACGATTGTCTTCTTATTATGATAATAAAATTATTTTACTTGTGGTCCTCATATTGCTGCATGATCTATCAAGCATTAAAACATTATTTTATTTTTTCATTTTCAATGTAGCTAAAAATGATGCTAGGAAGAACGAGAGCAACACAGAGGTCGATTTTTATATCCAAAGACGCACGATGATGTCAAAAATCTTATGCAAATTAAAGAAATACTTTAAAACACCAAAATCGAGACTTACAACGTACATTGTCAATTATATTGGTGCTCACCAAAATCAAGACTTACAACGTACATTGTCAATTATATTGGTGCTCACCAAAATCAAGACTTACAACGTACATTGTCAATTATATTGGTGCTCACCAAAATCAAGACTTACAACGTACATTGTCAATTATATTGGTGCTCACCAAAATCAAGACTTACAACGTACATTGTCAATTATATTGGTGCTAAAGGAGAAAATCCAAAACATGAGAAATATAGCCGTGAAATAAGTATTGACGCTGTCAGTGTAAAAATCAATTTGAAAGTTTTTTTTCAAGAAACTGTCTTGATGAGTGACGAAATTATTGTACTGGAAGGTGACCTTAATAAAAATGTTTTTGTGTAATTGTTATTTGTTCTTTCGTTGTAAATTGTTTTCAAAATTAAGAAACAAATTGTTTGAATTGATGGATTTTTTTTCAGTCCTTGAATTATCATTTACTTGTTACTTGTAAATCAATTATGCTACCTTCAAGCTGTCAAATATTTTTAAGAAGAAGTTATTCTTTAAAATATTGTCAGTTAAAAGTAACTTGTACGACTTTGCCCCCAGCAGAGCTATAGAAAAACAGTACATTAAAGGGTGTTACACGGACACTTTTTAGATGATACACGGACACTTTTTAGTTGTTACACGGACACTTTTTATGAATGGAATCACTCGTGCATGATCAGTGAGTTCATGGGCACTTTAAATTTCAATTAGATTTGAACTTTTTGTTTCACCGACATATTTCCTGTCTTTTTAAAAAAAAACCAATTACAATGGCATCATTTTTTTCAAACAATTCTAGTATATTACTATTCATATCAGTACACTAAGGGATTGACCATTAAGCTTCAAAAGGGGGTAATGGTTTTTTCCTTAAAAAAGAAAATATTCTGATCCCCAATTTTATGAGAAAAAATGCATTGTGGTCAGGCAGATTACAAAATAATGTTCTGATTCCTTATTTTCTGAATACCGTATATAAAAGTGCTAATTTCGAAAAAAAATGTGAGGTACCTTAATAAATTTCTTACTCAGAAAAAAAAACCATACCCCCCTTTTGAAGCTAAATGGTCGGTCCGTAAATGTATTTTTTTCCACAAGATATGGACATGAATAGTATTCTGGACAATGCTGAAAGTAAAGAAATGCTGTTACCGACGTTTATATTTCAATAAAAAAAGACAGGAAATATATATAAAAAAAATCAAATCTAATCAAAAGATAAAATCCCTATCAATTCACCAATGCACGATTGATCCTAAAAATAAAAAGTGTCCGTGTAATACATGTTCAAATAGGCAGCAAATCTTGAAGAAAATCATTCAACGTATGTCACCAATTTTTGGACGGTAAGCTGCAATTGGATCATATTGTGACACGTGTTTAATCCTGATCAAGACTAGTAGAGACATATAAAAACCTTTAAGCATGAAGATTTAAAAAAAAATCCAAAATATATGCCTATATGTATCTAATAACAAGACAAAATCCATTTTTTCATAACATTTCATTCTTTAATGAAATAGGAAATTCATTCTTTTTATACATTCATATTGTTATTGAATATATATAATTCATATATAATGAATTCAAATATTTGGGAGCAAACGTGCGATTTTTATCATTTTTAAGGGGGAATGGGGGAATAGAATGGCACATCCTGCATTTTTTCAACAAAAAAAAGGATCAAGCCTGTTTATTTTAAACTTATGTTACATGTAACCCCCCTCCCCATTTTCCGTTTTTACCCAATTAAAAATCAAATGTTAGCTTGGTTACCCCTAAAATCTTTTTCATACCTTACTTACTTGCGAAGTTGCATTTTAAAAAAGTCTCAAATGAGTACGACATTCCTCGTTAATTGACATGGTTCTTTTTTATAAAATTATTAAATTCTTTAATTTCTTGAGAAAAAAAACCTCTCGGCTGAAGGTAAGCAAAAAATATTTTTGTTTAAACTGTAGCTTACATTAATTGGTATATGGCAATTTACGTTTCTAATCTGTTTAAATTTGCTACCTTTTCTAAATGCAATATGTACTACTTCTTTCTTGATACGTCGTACAAGTCAGATACAAAACAAAGGTAACAAAAGAACAGGCCGGTAACAAACTGTCGTATAGTTCTTCTGCACTTGTAGTCAGGTCAAGGTCCTCGGCTATCGCCTCGGACCTTCACCTGACTACTCGTGCAGAAAAACTATCCGGCAACGGTTGTTACCGGCCTGTTTCTTTGTTACCTTTGTTTTGTATCTAATACATAATGGTTTCTTATAGCTAAATTATAGTCCAATCATTGAAATAAAGAACGGGTACAACAATAGAATTACGTCACAACAATCATTATGTTTTAAACCAATCTAAACATAAATTATCTAATGTTAATACTATTCTTAATTAATCAATACTGTATTAGATTAAAACACTGCATGACTGTCGTTATACAGTTTATGAATATTTTTGAAGATGGAACATTATCAAAATATTTAATAGTTAAGCACTGCAATGAGGTTCGGCAGGCACGTAGAGCTGAAATTTCGACTGTCACTGAAAAATTAGGGTATGTGGATACCTGAAAATACTTAAATGTTTTCGTCGTAACAGGCCAATCAAAGAGTTGGTTCAAAGGAGCTTCAACGCAAAGAAAGCGTAAAACTATCCCTGCACGAGGCATCGAATTAAAAAATTCCCAATCCGACCGGCCGTGACTACGTATTTATACATCCAACACAGCTAAACGAAATTCCGTCTTTAGGTCAATTAACGTTTCCTGCTGTATGTGAAAAGACCAGGGATGACTTTATTTCTGGAACCAATTTATCCCTTGTAATTTTTCGCATCAAAGGAAAACACACGAGCGACATAGAGAGAATTATTTGCGATACGCTAAAATTGACACATTTTCATATATTACAATTAAAAAGTGATTGAAGGACAAGACAAGACAAGACAATATTTTATTTAAGTCTCACCTCTTCATTTTATAAAACATACAAATATTTATTAAAACATAATCATAAAACATACAAGAGCCTTTCTAAAAAGAGTTATGAGAGACTATCTAAAATGTATGTACATTATGTGCACTTATATTAGCAATATAAGGAGCAGTACCACTTCTAAATTTTGCAAGGTATTTTTTAAGAAAAAAGATTTTTCTTCGCCAAATTAATTTTTGAACAATCTGTAAGTAGTTTGCTACGCTCGTTTGACATTAAATAATTATACCAATGATTGTTCTTTAAATTTATTAAAACAGATATTCTTAATATTTTTTATAACATGTTTAGCAATAATTAAATCAGTATTACAAAAATGTTCAATATCTACTTCTTTAAACTTTGTGTGATTGAAGGACGAAACATATACGTTAAGAGAAAATTTTGGTCAGAACGACAAGAGTTTGGCTCACGAACATCAGTTAATATTAATGGAATTATAATTTGTATGAATTATAGATGAGTAAAGATAATCCAAAGTGTTTCTTTCGTTCTTTTTATATATTTTTTTGTTTTAAATGTCCCTTTGCTGGTTCAATATGACACAATGACTCCTTTTGAATTTGAAAAAAAAACCTCCACTCACAACTTATACTTAAAAAAAAAACTACACGCTAAGTTGAATTTGATTAGAACCACCTTTTGTTACGAAAGAAGGAACACACGTATTAAGTTCATTATTAAAGACTATATTTAAAAATCAGATTTGGTTTTTAAATACAAGATCCAAATTCAATATCTCCAGTGTCCATCTGCAATTGTGCCAGCATAGGTATCGTATACTTTAGGAGCGTAGAAAAAAATAGAATTTGATACAACACTCATTAAATCAGTTTGAAATTTATACAGGGTATAATACGTACTCTAAGCGAAACGTTTAATGACAGTGGGTCTGTGTAGAAGTCTATACGATGGTCTCCATGTATAAAATATAAATTTTAAATGCTTCGAAGTCTTGTAAGACTCATATTTTAAACTGCTTCAACTCTAAAGTAAAATAGTTAAAACAAATAAAACGTAAAGATAGAAAAAATACAATGTGTACATTTAAGTGATAATTCCTTACAATTTCAATTGATTTAATTAATGGTCTTCTGACAAATTGAAGAGAAGAACAATTTTATTATATTCGATGAGTAATTTGCTAAAATGTTATTTCGAAACGTTTTGACATTCAAGCACATTTTCAATCAAACGCAATTCATAGTCAAAATGCGCACGGTCAAATTAAAAAAAAAATAAACTCTTATGATTATATAATTACATGATAGAATAAGAAAATTTAGAGTTAATTTTAGCTTTTAGTTGTTTTCCTTTAGAAATTCATACGTGTAGTTGTGATGTTTTATGTACTAGCTAGTACGTGAGGTCTTTTATTTGAAAATACATCCTTTCTTTTAAACACCACGTGATTTTTTGTCTATTAATGAAAATGGTGGAATCCTGATGAAACATTTAGGTAATCTAATGATAATTTGATTTGAGTAATTCCATTGTTAAGTGATACCGAAGTGGGAAAAAACACCATTACAAAAAAGAAGAAAGACGACAAACATACAAATAATACCTAAACACGTGACAGAAAACTAAAGAAAGAGCAACTTGAACCCGACTAAATACCTGACTGAACACAAGGCAAGCAGTTCCTGCTTCACTAATGTCACCCGTCTAGCTACTCGTTTCATGTAAAAATATGGTGATAAATCCCATCATTCTGTTATGTCATAATAGAGGAAAGAAGGACCTAATTCTATTTACAAAATATGGACCCCCCGTTGTTAACTGTGACACAGATATCAAACAACGGCGCACCAAATGATGATTGCGGGCGTAAAACATTCGAGGGGATGACTTCAACTTCACTGCGTTGAACCCTTTCTGAAATTGCGTTCTTATAAACAGTAGGCTCGATAAATGCGTTATTCAAAAGTCGTTTTAAGTTTTAAAAATTATTTCGGTAGTTTTAATAAGTACGTTGACGATTTATTAGTTAATGTAGCATTTAGAAAGTAGTAGAAGTACATGAAGTATATTATTCCTATATATCAGTAGGAGTCGCGCAGTTATTACTAAGTCGTGTAAAGAAGGTTGTGTAGTTTTGTGTCATATCATATAATTCATTTTGCATCTATTTCTATATCTTATGTGAAAAAAATAGGTAACTAATACTTGTGGTCTACCAGTTAACATAAAATAAATACAGAAATGCATACTTGGTATGATGAAATGTAAATGTTATATGATATGCTTTAGTTTGTACTAGACTGAGACACAGTTTTAACTAGCTACACTTATCTTACGAATTTATTTATTATTGAAAACTTTTCTCGAACTGTAAGTGTGCAGGTTAAGTAAAGCAGCTTCGAAAACAATGTCTAGACTTTAATTGAAAACGGATTGGATTATAAGTTATTTCGAGAAATTGGAACAAGAAGTTTGGCACTTGTTCCGACAAAATATCACAACGTCCTGAAAGCAACCACTCTTCTTCCCGTCGACTTAACAACAAGAACCTATCATTTGTAATATCTACGTCATTTGGTCTATTGGGGATGTTTCAAATTGGCAATCATACCACATCTCTTTATTCTATAAAGACAAACAGATTTGCTTATAAATTCATCATAGATACCAGGATTAAAATTATGTACGCCAGACGCGCGTTTCGTCTACAAAAGACTCATCAGTGACGCTCGAATCAAAAGAATTTAAAAAGCCAAACAAGTGGCAATCATACCACATCTCCTTATTTTATTATTGAGGGTGTCTGCAGGGGGCCTGTTGAAAGTATTATGTTCTGCACCTATCAATCCATAATGTTCTTATATGCAAGTTACAGTCAAAATTTCACATCCTTCTTCCATGCTGACCTAGGCTTGCAGAGCCTATATTTCGCATTCTTCATTATTTTTATCCTGAATGTTTGAAATGTTTGCCACTGTACGTTAAGAAATCATTTTTCTATTAATAGATCATCAAATGGAATAAAAACAGACACACGCTTGGGAATGTGAACGAAAAATCAAATTGAAAGTAAGTGAGCGCGTAACATTTTTTAATCACTTTACTCAAACTTTTCACTTTAAATTCAGTTTAAAATTAGGGAAATAACATATATGAAACTGTAACTGTGTAAGTTCGTTTTTCCTGGAGAAATTTGTACAGAAGGTAAATAACTGTTCTATTAACTATATAATAACATTCATTAACACTTTTACGATCTTGACAAATAAATCAAATGTATGATAGAAATAAATTTATTGCCAAGATAGCATACATATATAACAAAAGAAACTCATCATTTTCTATGGTTAAATAATTAATAAAACAATATTATGTTCTCTTACTTATATCATTTACAATTATAAGCACTCGGTCCAGTTACTTCTCTTTATAACCGTTTAACATCTCTATCATTGTATCTTTCTCCTTTCCTTGTACATTTTGTACTACATCACATGGAGTCTTTTCTGCATTATTTCGTTTTTGTATACCGGGTTTCTTAGCTAGTAGAAGTTGCACTATTTTTTTGTTTCCTATTAAACATACTGCATGGAGTGGAGAATTTCCATTTTCTTCGCAATGATTTACATCTGCATGGTTATCTAATAAGAGTTTAACAATGTCAAAACACTCGTTAATACACGCAGTGTACAATGCCGACTCTTTTTTTCTATTAACTGCATTAACATTTGCGTTATATTCTATTAAAAATTTAACAATACGTTCATGTTTTTCTCTACACGCAACATGAAGTGGAGTAGATGCAGATATATCACCTGTGTTGATATTTGCACCACTATTATGTAATAATTTACATATTTCCATATGGCCTTTACTACAGCTTATTAAAACTGGTGTTCATCCTCGTTTAGTAGCTAACTTGATTTCAGCGTTTTTGTTTAAAAGAATATCAACACAATTAAGATTACCTTTCATACTTGCGATGTACAATGGCGTGAAGCCATCATCGGACTGTACATTTACTTGCGCGGAATTATCTAGCAATAGCTCTACTATATTTTGATTACCAATCAGGCATGCTTTATAAAGAGGTGATATGTGTTTTACGTTAGCTTGGTTTACATTGGCTTTATTTTTTAAAAGCATACACACTATATGTTGTTGATTTGTTTTACAAGCTGTAAAAAGAGGTGTTCTGCCATCAATATCACATTCATTTATCATATTTTTGCAATATTGATACTGAAGTAAAAGTTCAACAATTTCTAAATATCCTTTTGAACATGCTATATGTATTGCTTTCAGTCCATTTGTGTCTGTATTTTTGACGTCTGTCTTCGCAGTCAGCAGCAAAGTAGTTACTACTTTGTAATGGCCATTTTCACAAGCTCTTTGCAATGCTGTTCTGTTCATCTCGTTATCCTTTCTATTGACGTTTGCACCGTAATTAAGAAGCACTTTTACTGTTGATGAATGGCCATTAGTTGACGCAATATCCAAAGGGGTTAAGTCTTCAACATTTGTTACACCAAGTGGTGCTTTGTCGATCGCAAGAAGTGTTTTTTCAAGATTACAATGACCACCAAGACACGCCATATACAATGACGTTCTCCTGTTTTTGTCCAAATGGTGTATTTGTTCTTTTTTTAATTGAATAAGTTCATATGCCAGCTCATCATAACCTTGTTCTGATACAACATGAAGAGGTGTAGAGTTATAATCATTGCATTTTAAATCTTCAGGTTTTAAATGTCTAAGATATTTTATGATTTTATGTCTAAACCTCAAATGTTTCATCTGTACACCAGAAAACACTTCGCTATGGTAACCTTTCCTTATATCCAATAGACATCTTTGGAAATAAGATTCTTCCTGTTCAGGTTTCACCAAGATGTCAAGTTCTTCATGCTCCTTTTGTAAAGAAGATAATTGGAGCCGATTAGCCAGAAATGTACTACTTCCATGTTTAAGTAAACAACGAATTATACCGCTACCTACTGTAAACGAAAGGTTTTGTAATAACGTATCGTGAATACAAGTAAATCCGTCGTCTGTTTCCTTTACGTATGTTCCAATCAAGTCACAAAATGCCGACAGAAGCAATGTAGTTGATGGGAAGTACTTAAATCCACACTCGTCATACAGATCATTTAATAACGCTTTAATGTTAGCGTTTTCAAAGCTTAATGTGTTCCTCTCAATATTATTATCGCGCAATACAAGTAAGGCTATTGCAAGGAAAGCTATATCGGACTTTTCTTTGGTGTTTTTCATTTCTTCTGCAAGGAATTTGTACAGATTCACGAACAAAGTAGCTGTATGTTCTTTTCTTAAGAAAACAGAACACAACAAAGGAAAGAAGTCATACATCATTATAGTATCATCACTTAGATCTGGTACGTTATAACTCTGGCAAATGCTTCTCCTTTGATCAAGGGACAATTTCAAATCAGGGGAAAGCATATCACAGTGTACTGGCGAGAAATTTAATTTGCGACTAAAACCAGATTTATAAATGTACGATCTGCAAGTAAGTATAAGTTTAGTATTCGAACAATCAGTCAATATTTGTTTGATGAAAGTTTCTTCCTTTTCCCATCGCTGAATGCTTGAGTCATCAACAGTGTATTTGCCAACTGGATCATCAATTACATATACCTGTTTTGTTTCAGGCAATAAGTATTTTCTGATTTCTTGGGGAGATGAAACAGGCATCACTACAAACCCATCATTGTGTTCTAGAATAAAAGCTGTGTAATATGCTATGGCAGATTTACCGGATCCAGGAGGACCTGATTATATCACAAATCCATGGGTTTTCACTTGATTCAAAACTTTCTTAGAGGCTTCAGTTACTTTAAATTGTTCGTTCCTTTTTCTAAATTTTATTGTTTCATTTACTTTAAAATCTGAAATAATGAAAATAACAAATAATTTTACTAAAAAAGAGAAATTTATTATAGCGTTCATTTCAGAATTGCCACGATGTGAAAGTAGCAGGGCTCAAATCCGAATAAAGGAAGAACAACATCCCGCTATGGGTAAAATTGTTGACCCAACAGTTGTAGTTAAAAGCTTACGATGAATGTAAATAAATTATTCTTGTCTATAGAATTCATAATACAAAAATAAGAAATATAGATCTTTGCACTTATATAATATATTTTCGCATTTCCCATTAACGTTCTAACATGTCTATTGACATTACTATTGACAACAATTTAAAACAGATCTCGCATCAATACTTATTTTGAACTGTACGGTTCCTATATTTCGGTAAACCGTTTCGAATCACTGTGACGAGCACAAAGTTGACCATTACTTGTCGATTGACCGATTACACGTAAACACTCCATAAAAGGGACAAACAACAAATAAAGATTGTTATAATTTACCCCTGAATTGACACACACTTAAATCTTTGTAAAATGATTTTGCACTAGACTTTTACAGACCAATTTTCGATTAAATTATCTTCATATGATTGTTTACATCACAAGTAAAAAAAAATATAGATTTTTTAATGAATCAGAATTTGCATACCGGGAACTTCCTGACGAAATATAGTTGTATTTTCATTTTCATTGAAGCCGTCCATTTTTTTTCGTCAGCTCTTTCATACCTGCAATTGAAAAAAAAAAATTAATATTATGTCTGTGTCTTGTCTTTGATGAATAATTAATCCATGCTTTAACTAACATTCTCCTAAATTCAGAGTATAACCTAATTGCTAAACCTTTTCTCAAACATTTAAGATGTTTTTATAACTAAAGATAATGTAGGGTATCGTATAAGGCAAAAGAACAGCAAAAATAAAACAAAAATTATCTTTATTTGGACTTAATAAAAAGACCCCAAAAAAAAGACAGCCCAAATGATCCTAAACACACTGAATCAAGCTGTGTTGTAAAATTTATCAACTTTATAAGGCTTTTGAAATTAAGTTCTAAATGATCCTACATCTCTTTTATTTTGCATAATACAGACTCTCATACTGGATACACACACCAACAACGACCTCATTGAAAACCCTTTAGTGGCATTATAAAAAAGTTTATAGACATTTATGTATTTTTGGACAATGGTATTGGTTTTTGTTGTTTTCCATAAACGTATGATAAATCGATATTCATACATGTTGATCTTTTTTCTTTTTCAAAAGCTTTCTAGGGGGGGAGGGGGGGTTAAGAAAATTGTTTCGGATGCAATGAATTGTTCAAGTGTTTTTTTAATTTTCTGGACGTTTTAGATATTGACAGTCTCCTATAATTGTTAAAGACCTTATTTTGATCCCCTAGATATCTTTTTTGTGTTATTTGGTAGTTCTCTCACTGACGCTTAATCCCATATATAATGTATCATGTCTGTTTAAATAGAATTATATTTCATATTGGTATTATTGCAGTAACCTGTCTGAACTATTATTCCAATTTTTTATAGATTTAAACGCAAAGTAATATTTCTATAATTTTTCATCAGAAAAACTTGAAAACCGACTTGTTACATTACAATTAAAAATGCGTGTTGAAACGATTGATTCATTGATTGTTGTTTGCTTTACGCCGCCTTACCGTGTGTTGAAACGATGTCATACATGTTAATTAATGCAAAATATAGATTTATGATAAATTTGTGGTGACCTTGGGATGTTTCCTGCTCTTTGGTCGGGTGTTGTCTCTTTGACACATTCACCATTTACATTTTCAATTTTATGATAGTTAAACATTTAAATGAATGCATATGAAGCCTGTTACAATCTGTGACATTACGGGAATAGACTTATCATCAGATTTGTACTGTCGTGCTGAACACGAAGTTCTATATGATCCTACATGTTTCCTCTTTTGGGAACCAATTGTGCCCCTCTTCTTGCCGACTTGTTTCGTTATTATTATGAGGCTGACCTCATACAGGAACTTCTTAGGAAGAAAGATAAGAAGTTAGCAATATCATTTAACTCTACGTTCCGCTATATAGATGATGTTCTCTCACTAAATAATACAAAATTTGGTGACTATGTTGAACGAATCTATCCCATCGAACTAGAGATAAAGGATACTACAGATACAGTTAAGTCTGCCTCATATCTTGACTTACATCTAGAAATTGACAATGAGGGTCGGTTGAAAACAAAACTTTACGACAAAAGAAATGATTTCAGCTTCCCAATTGTGAACTTTCCATTTCTATGTAGCAACATTCCAACAGCGCCTGCATACGGAGTATATATCTCCTAATTGATACGATACTCCCGGGCTTGTGTTTCCTATCATGATTTCCTTGATAGAGGATTGCTGCTCGCAAGGAAGCTATTTAACCAAGAGTTCCAAATGGTGAAGTTGAAATCATCCCTTCGTAAATTTTACGGACGCCATCACGAGTTGGTTGACCGTTATGGAATAACCGTTTCACAGATGATATCGGATATGTTCCTTATGTCGTAACTACAATACCCTTCCCTTTTCACCAATGTGACTTACCGAATTAGACTTTTTACCGGATTTGTAATAACATAAGCAACACGACGGGTGCCACATGTGGAGCAGGATCTGCTTACCCTTCCGGAGCACTTGAGATCACCCCCAGTTTTTTGTGGGATTCGTGTTGCTTAGTCTTTAGTTTTCTATGTTGTGTCATCTGTACTATTATTTGTCTGTTTGTCTTTTTATTTTTGGCCATGGCGTTATCAGTTTGTTTTCGATCTATGAGTTTGACTGTCCCTCTGGTATCTTTCGTCCCTCTTGCATACTACAGAATCTCATTTTGGAAACCCACACCAACAAATAACCTCATTGAAAACGCTTCAGTGACATTATCGAATAATATATATATAGGTACAGTATACACAGATAGTACAGATTCGT